GCCTGGAGGCGCGGGCAGATCCCACACGAAGTGCGGGACCCGGGTCACGCTCGGGGGCGAACAGCCTGGAACTGGGCCTGCCGGGAGTGCCGGAGCCAAGCCGGGAGCGAGGCCCCGGGAGGCTGCTGTACAGGCCCGGGAGTCTGAAAGCGGTGCTGTTTTTGAGCTCTTCCCACACAGGCAGCTCAACATCTCCGGCAGATCGCCTCCAGCTGACAGCCCCGAGCTCATGGTGGCTGCCGCCTCCGCTCTCCCCCTGCCCTCGAGCTCCTTTCCCTCCTGCCAGGCGGCTGGGGGTGCGTTTTAAAACCTGAAGCTACACGTGACAGTCAGGTAGTGGGTTAGTGACCCGAGATAAATTCTCAGCTAAATATAGAACAAATTCTGAGTTAAGAAATCTGTACACGGAGGTTATTACCCTGGCCTGGAGGCTGATCGTTAATTCATAAACCTCCTCCTCGGAGGGGCAGGGTCAGTCTGTTTTGAGGCTGCGTGTGGGACCAGAGTTTGGAGGATTTGTTAGACCTTAGCTGCACTCATCTAGCAAGCAAAGGATTGGCAAGATCCAGCAGCTGGAGCTGAGAAATCAGCGTTTAGCCAGGAGGGCAGTTAACCACTACCTTCAGAGCTGGCAGATGCTCTGCCATGTAGGATCTTTAAACCAGCTGCAGCCTCTCTTTCTCTAGATCCAGTTCAAGCAGAAATTATTGTGCTGAAGGCAGGTACCAGTTAGTGAAACTTTGTGTCAGACTACATCATCATACGGTCCTCCTGGAGCTTAAAAGCAAGAGGGATGTTTGACCAGCGTGTCAGAGCAGACTGTCAGTCCGCGAGAGATGCAGCCTGGAGTAACGGAGATAAAAATTCAGCGTATGCCTGCACAGTGCTTACCTTCGCACTACGCACTCCTCATTTCCCAACAGACACGTCAAATCAGCCTCTGCATCCACCTCGTGTTGATTTTCCAAGGATATATATGAAATCTCTGACGGTATTGAAGACCTGTTTAAAAAAATCCACGACTCCCTTTATTTTTTTCAAGATGTTCTTTTACATCTGGGGAAAACTAAGGTAGCCATGGTAAAAATCGCATATTGAAATTAAACTTTACATCACAAAGGATGAAAAATATCGCACAGAAAGTACTGTTGTACTGTACATTTATGAAATAGGTACACATTCTTAGTTTTTGAATGTTGACAGATATATTGAGTTGCTCTCCACAATTATGTTCTTCATATATTTTTCCCTTTTAAATAAGTATTTTAAAATAAGAAAAAAAGGAATTAAAACAGAGAAAATATACTCCCTGGGAAATGGCCCTCAGGGACAAGAGAGCAGAACAGAGCTGGCAGGTCTTCAAGGACGCTTTCTATAGGGCACAAGAGCTCTCGATCCCCAGGGGCAGGAAATGGGGCAAGGAAGGGAAGAGGCCGCATGGCTGGGCCATGACCTGGGGGTCAAACTAAAGGGCAAGAAGAGATTGCCCAGGCAGGGGAAGAAGGGACCATTATCTTGGGAAGAGTACAGGGACGCTGCCCGGTTGGGTAAGGATGGGCTCAGGAAGGCCAAGGCTCGGCTGGAGCTGAACCTGGCAAGGGATGCGAAGAATAATAATAAGGGCTTCTACAGGTACATTAACCAGGAAAGGCAGGTTAAGGAAAGCGTGCCCCCTCTGGTGAGCAGTAGTGGCGAGCTGACAACAACAGACGAGGAGAAGGCTGAGGTACTCAACAACTTTTTTGCCTCAGTCTTCACTGGCAATCTCTCTCCTCACACCTCCCAAGCCAATGGGCCATTTGATGGGGATTGGGAGGAGAGAGGTCCTCCCACTGTAAGAGAAGGTCAGGTTCGTGACCACCTAAGGAACCTGAACGTACATAAGTCTATGGGTCCTGATGAGATGCATCCCAGAGTCCTGAGGGAATTGGCTGATGTCGTTGCTAAGCCTCTCACCATGACACTTGAAAAGTCATGGCAGTCAGGTGAAGTCCCTGGGGACTGGGAAAAGGGAAATATTGCAGCCATTTTTAAAAAGGGTAAAAAGAAGGACGAAGGGAGCTACCGACCTGTCAGCCTCCCCTCTGTGCCTGGGAAGATCACGGAACAGATCCTCCCGGAATCTATGCTAAGGTGCATGGAGGACAGGGAGGTGATTTGGGACAGCTAGCACGGCTTCACCAAGGGCAAGTCCTGCCTGACCAACCTGGTGGCCTTCTGTGATGGAGTGACTACATCAGTGGACGAGGGAAGAGCAATGGATGTCATCTCTCTGGACTTCTGTAAGGCCTTTGACACAGTCCCCCACAATATCCTCCTCTCTAAATTGGAAGGATATGGATTTGATGGGTGGACTGTTTGGTGGATAAGGAATTGGCTGGATGGTTGCATCCAGAGGGTGGTGGTCAATGGCTCGGCATCCAGATGGAGAACAGTGATGAGTGGTGTCCCTCAGGGGTCCGTGCTGTTCAATATCTTCATCAATGACATAGACAGTGGGATCGAGTGCACCCTCAGCAAGTTTGCAGA